CCCCAAAACCCCAAAACCCCAAAACCCCTTAAATAAAATAGCTTGAGGTTGTTGAGAAAAGCAGTTTGTTAATAAAATTCTAATTTAAATTGATTAAAGAAAATGAACATTTCACTTAGAAACAATCAGTAAACTTTAAATTGACAATATTTACTTAAAATAGACAAGCAACTTAGCAATTAGATCCTTAAAGATAAAATGAAAAGCACAGAGGTTTCCAGAGCAAGGAAGTAGGACCACTTAATCAGATCGATATGAATAATTCATATGACTACAAGAAAAATACTGATGATCTTCAACTTTAATACGATGAAGAGAATGATGAGAAGACTACTGCCAGGGAAACTGATGTAATACAAAAACTCAATTATCTCAAGAATGCAGTAAAGTAGCTATAACAAGAAGGAATAAAATATCCAATAGTAAGTTAGCCAATAATTCAAATCATTATTCTAGGCATAGCCTGACAGCAATTACTTCTAAAAGGAAAATAGATTTCCTCATCATCATCTTAATTAAGAAAGTTAGCCACTACATACTATGATGCTGAATTAAGCAAGTAGTTAGTCAATACCATATTAGTAAGCTCACTTAGAGAATCTCATGAAGCAAGCTAACAGTTCATCAATGCCTAGTGTCATTTCAAGCCCTACATCAACTGAGAGAGATAGAAAATTATCTAAGAATTCTAGGAGATCAAGGTAGGAAAGAAAGAACAAAACTTAAACAGCAGTTGATAATGTCTATGGTGATCCAAGCTAGACTATGTATAGAAATAGAGGGGATATTGCATCTTAGCAAACTAATTTTAGTGAAATAGAATTTGTTAGAAGAAGTTAAGAAGATATTAAAAAAACTGGATCAACATTAGTGAGTGATGAAAAGAATAAAGGCTCAAGATCAAAGAGTAAGCGATCTAGAAGAGAAAGAAACAATAGAAATTAGTTGCAAACGCAAAATATAAACTATGATCATAATATCAATAAGCATTATTCACACGACTCATAGCTAAGATATCAGCCTTACAATTCTCACTAACCCTAGTCTAATTAATTTTATCAGACAGGATACACAAATAACCTAGACTCTTAAAATACAGGAGAGAATATTAACATCGATGATCAGCATAGTAAAAAGCAAATAACAAATAATAAGACTTAAGAGTATACACCAGTTTAGTACAGAGCAAAGGTTTATTCCACTGTGGGAAATATACGCAATGAAAACTCCAAAGAAAGAGAATATTTTAGTGCTTAAACAATAAAGGAGATTAATCAAAATTAAGTATCAAATGATATCCCCTAGTTGCTGCAGTTAGAATAGCTCTAGACAAAAAAACTAGAGAAAAAGCTTAAGAGATATAGAGAAAAAGTTGATAAATATAAAAGCGAATCACACAAAAAATCATCAGAGCTCAAATTAGCTTAAGGCTCTATTGCTAATCTGATTAAACAAAACGAAGAGCAGAAGTAATACTATGATTATCATATTAATCAGTTTATTCAAATTCAGAGAGAATCAGATCTTGAAAAAGCCTAGTAATCTGAGGAACTAAGAATTTTAAGAAGCTAACTCTCAGAAAGAGATGATAAAATTGATATCAAGTTGAAGCAAATTTAGTAAATCAATTAGGATTTAACTAAAGAAAATCATAACCTTATCAAAATCTTAAATGATGAGAAATAAAGTATGTTAAGATTTGAAAAAGAAAAGAAAATCAATTGAACTCTTTAGTCATTGAAATTGATAAAATTAGGGGTAATATGAATAAGCTAATTGATGAGAGTCTCAAAGATAAAAATGTAATTGATAAGTTGCAGAAAACCATTGAGATTTAGGACTAGGAACTTTAGAAAAACTAAAGGAAAATGGATAGAAAGAATGATAAGATAGAGGAACTTGAGCGAGGATTATCAGAGCTGAGTGAGAAATTAAAAAATGATTATCGAAATGAAAATTAACTCAGAATGGATAACTTAGCTTTAAATAAATTACTAGCTGAAGTAGTGAAGTATTGCTAACTTTCTAATTTTAATCAGATACTCCCATTCTTATAAGATCTTAGCAAGCAAAATAAGCAAACATATAAGGTAAGTCTAGTATTAATAAAACAAATGATTGGTATAGTTTGTAGAGAAGCTACAAAAACTAATGATTACCAAAACAATCTATCAAAGGCACCCTGATGTGAAAGATCTATGGAGGTGGGTCAAAAGTCTATGCAGAGCATAAGAAGAACAGCCTTTAGTTGTAAATTTATATTTGTTAGATTAATACTGGATAGAATAATTAGTAGAAAACAAGGAGGGAAAAATCTCAAAGAAATAGGAGCTAAAAAAAATCCAGAATAGATTCACAGTCACCTTCAGCTATTAAGCCAAGACAAAGTCCTAATACTCATGATAAAAATGAACATTTTCAATACGATTAGAACTACCTTTCTACTATGAAAGTTTAACAAGTATAGTTAGACAGAGATCATGAGTTTACATTAAGACAATAAGAGCCAATTATATCAGGGGAATTTTAAAAATTAACTGCAACATAGCAAATACCTTCTTAACTAAATAATAGTAAATAGCAAACATATGAGCAACTCAGGAGTGAAAACCAGTATATGGATCATATTTTGGGCAAAGTCAAAGACCTCCTGAGTCTAGACAAGGAAATTGCACTAATAGATGTTGAAATGTATTTAAATCACGCCACCCAGGGCATAAACAATTAGAACTAGCGAAGAAAACAATGAGACACTGACTTATATACTTTAATTAAACTGATATGAATATATAGAGATGATAATTAGAACGTATTCTGATTTTATGTAATTCATTTATAAATTAACTCTGTTAATAAATTCACTATATTTATTGCTCATTTATCTCAGAGTCCTACTGAGGATGGGTTAATGTTTGGCATGTTGTTGGTAGGCTTGTTCTGTTGAGATCCTCCAGCGATCATGTCAACCTTCTTCTTGGTCTTGGCTGAGACTGATAAGAATTGTCTGTAGTATGGTGAGTTTGGGTGGTACAACATATTTAATATATTATTTATTAATAATTATTATCAAAGTCCTTTAAATATAATCATATGCAAATAAAAATTCTCGCCAGGCGCAGTTTTTTAATAAAATCGACAGCTAGAGCCATGGGAAACAGAATCATTATAGAGACTCAAGAATTAGAAGATCTGATAAAATAGAAACCTGAAAATCTCACCATTTTCAATGCTACTTTAGCAAGACCCGATATTAGACCAGCATAAAATCATATTGATGGTAGAATCAATGGAAGTATCTTGTTTGATTTCGAAAAGCTAGCAGATCTTACACAAAAAGCTCCATATATGTTGCCATCTGATGAATAGTTCAGCAGAGAGATGAAAAAGATGGATGTGAGAAATAGTGATGAAATTGTAGTCTATGATAAGTCAGGAATGCTCTCTGCTCCAAGAGCTTTTTGGATGCTGACATCGTTTGGTGCCCCAAATGTGAGAATTCTTAATGGCACTTATTCTAAATGGGCTGCAGAGAAAAGAGCTACAACTTCTGGTGATGAACCAAATGCTTGGATTAATAGCCGGACTACCTAACCTAAATAAGATGATTACGATTATAAGATTAATCATAAGAGATTTATGACTTTTGATGAAATATTTGGCTTAGCTTAGAAGAATCTTAACTTGCCTGAAAGTGATAGACTTGTAATTTTGGACTCAAGATTCACATAGATATATGAAAAAGGCCATATTCCAACTAGCAAGAGTCTACCATTTACAGAAGTTCTTAATTCAGATAAAACTTACAAAAGCGTTGAGGAACTTATAAAAGTTTTTCAAAGTTAAGGAGTCACTGACCCTCGAAATGATAATATAGTATTATCATGTTAGAGAGGTATTACAGCCTGTATCCTTGAAGCTGCTCTAGAGTAAATAGGCAATAAGAATTTGAAAGTATATGATGGATCTTGGGAAGAATACGCAGCGAAAAAAGACTAATAAGGTAAATGAATGATTTGATGCTTAAAATTAGTCTATACATATATTTTTAAAGTTTTGGCAAATCTTTAGAGAATCTAACTATTTAATCTATAAAATAAAGAGATATGCATTGGCATTTATTTTTAGCTTGAGGGGTTTTGGGGTTTTGGGG